CCCCTCCCCTCCCCCCCAGCGGCTGGGCAGTCCCTCTGCAAAGCCCAGGGCCGTGAATTATTGACGAGGCGTGGGAAGGGGCGATAAAAGCCAGGCCGCCTCCTCCCCTGCGAGACAGTAAATACATTTAATTACGGGACAGGCGCTGAGGGATCTCTGCCGATATTAAGTTTATTAGCAGAGACGTTTAAAAGCCTGTCGTCGGAACAAAAAGGTCTTGTGTGATCCTAAACGCTCCACTTTGATACGCGGCTCCCAAGTGAACGGGCTTAATTGAGCGGGTGGCTGCCGCCTCTGCTCGGGCCGGGCCGGGCGGGTTTTAGGGCCCATTCACTCCTGCCCGCCGGTCTCCGCGGCGCAGGGCGGCCTAAGGGCTCCCCGGGACGCCGGGCTCGCGCCCGGGCAGCTCTGGCCCTGACGGCTCTCCCGCTCTCTCGCCCGCCAGGGAGCTGATGCCCCGGACGCTGGAAGGCCAGCTCACCATGGAGAAAACGCCCAGCTACTTCGTCACCGGCGAGGCGCCCGGGCGGATCCACGCCATGGCCAAGGACACCAAGCTGATCGTGGTGGTGCGCGACCCGGTGACCAGGGCCGTCTCCGACTACACGCAGACGCTCTCCAAGAAGCCCGAGATCCCGGCCTTCGAGGCGCTGGCCTTCAAGAACCGGACCCTGGGGCTGATCGACGCCTCCTGGAGCGCCATCCGCATCGGCCTCTACGCGCTGCACCTGGAGAGCTGGCTCCAGGACTTCCCGCTGGCCCAGATGCTCTTCGTCAGCGGGGAGCGGCTCATCTCGGACCCCGCGGGGGAGCTGGCCAAGGCGCAGGCCTTCCTGGGCCTGCGGAGGGTGGTGACGGAGAAGTACTTCCATTTCAACCAGACCAAGGGCTTCCCTTGCCTGAAGAAGCCCGAGGAGAGCGGCGCGCCGCGGTGCCTCGGCAAGTCCAAGGGCCGGACCCACCCCGTCATCGACCGGGACGTAATTCAGAGGCTGCGCAAGTTTTATAAACCGTTTAATGTCATGTTTTACCAAATGACCGGCCAGGATTTCCAGTGGGAGCAGCAACAGGGGGGGCTCTGATGCAGCCGCGGCAGACAGAGCGCTTTTTTTCTCCGGAGGTAAATGGCTTTCCTCTTTGCGGCTGGGGGACGGGGTGGGGGTGGTGGTGGCGCAGCCTTTGTGGGCCTTTACAATCCCGGTCCTTCCCCTCGTTCGAGTTGGGACTCCGGCCACCCTGGTCCTCCCACCCGAGGCCACCAGGTTGAGGAAGGCTGCCCTGGGCTCCCGGGCGTGCAGAGTGCCTGGGCTGGGCGCTGCCATGGGCCGAACACCCCTGGTCAGGAGCTGGCTTCGCAGGCAGGGCCCCAAAGCGCAGCCACCCGCCGGAAAGGCAAAATGGCAAGAACATGAGAGATCAGGCTTCTGACCTGAGAGCACCTGAGGCGTCAGGTGAGAAATACTGTAGCAAGGGGGTTGTGTTCCCACTACATCAAGATGATGGCTGTAGCCCACCAGCTTTCCATAATCTGATCAGATTTTAGTCAGGTTTCATTTTCTACAAAATTGTGATTGCCTAAAGACCCCTCAAGCTTTGGATTCAAAATCCAGCCTCCGTAATTGCCCGCAACCTTCTTGTTCTCCTTCCATCTGTCCCCCTCCGAAGCCCAGCTCCACAGGCTTTGGGGTCCCACCCTGACTCTTCAAGATGCCTCCCCGTCCTGCTTACAGCCTCATGCTCTGACAGTCGGGTGTCTCCAAGCAGAAATGCGGGCTGAGGCTGCTGTCCGATGGAAGGGCGAGAATGGGCTGCTGCAGCCTGGGCCAAGGAGAAAGCGGGGCATCAGGTTTGAGGTTGGGATAAAACGGAAGCAGATCCTCCTAGGAGCTCTCTGTTTTTATATAGGTAATTTTACTGAGATCCAGTCGGGTTCGTGGTTAAGGGAGCAGGCCAGAAACTGGGAGTTGTGAGTTCTAGTCCTGCCTTAGGCAAAACCCAGCTGGGTGGGCCAGTCACTTTCTCTCATCCTAGGAAGCAGGCAACGGCAAACCTCTTCTGAAAAACCTTGCCAGGAAAACTGCAGGGACTTGTCCAAGTAGCCTCTGAGAATTGGACATGATTTAACAGAAGGGAAAAAAAGTTTATTACAGATTTTAAAAAGGAAGATAAAACTAATACAAACTGATATAAAGTAAGAAAGGGGAAAAGGAAAGAAATCAAAGAAAACTAAAGTGCAAGAAAGGGGAAAAAAACCCTAAAAGAAAAGTAGAAAAAAAAGAAAAAAGACTAGCATCTCGTGGCTCCCAATCTTCTTTACAGCAGTTATAAGTACAATTATACATTTAGCCCTTACTCTACGGTTACAACATAACTCTCTTTTTTCTATATCTAATCATCAAATCCATAAACTGTAAATTTATTTTTTCTGTTTTGTGCAAAATGTCCATAAGGGGCTGCCAGTCAGCAGTAAACATAGATACAGTCTATCAAAGAAGTCAATTTAGCCATCTCAGCGAGTTCCATCATCTTCACCAACTATTCTTCCAGTGAGGATAAGGCCAAATCTTTGTGCATACGATAATCTCACTGCAAATATCAGGTGCAAAACAAAATTCCATGACTTTTTTCCCAACTGTTTGTCTATCAGTCCCACAAGAAAAGCCTCTGAACTCAATTGTTTGTTAATCTTTAAGATCCTGCATTTGAATTTGAATCTGTATTTGAGTCTAGAATTTTTCAGCATTTTACATTTCCACCAAACATGGTAAAATGTCCCTTTTTGTTCACATTTCCAATGTGTACATTTGAAGTGCCTTTGTATATTCTAGACAATTTTTCTGGGGACAATGCCAGCAGTACATCATTTTATAAAAATTCTTAAGATTATACCGTAATAGTGTAGCTCGCTCTTCTCTTGAGGAGAAAAAGCAACTATAAATCTAACAAACAAAAATGAAGTATGTGCTAGAGCTGACTTTCACATATGATTAAGTTTTGAGTTCCTCTGTTAAATAACGATGTTGTCGTGCAATCTATTTTGCAAAAATTAAAAGTGTTCAGGTAGATGACTTTGTAAAAACACAAGAGAAAAGAAATCTTAGGTTACGGTCTGAGCGGGCCATGCAACTCCTCCTCCCCACCCCCAGGCTCCTCCCGGGGCAGCTGGACACGTTGAAGGATTTGGAGAAGGCGCCTGCATCCCGTCAGACCGACTCGGGATTCCCCACGCTCAGGACCGATGGACGCAGGAAGTGACCCCGCTCTTGGCTTGCTGGCCTGGCCTGTGTGCTCTGCCGGGAACCCCAGCCTGGCCTACGGACAAGATTAGCAAGGCCACCTGGCTTCTCCTTCGAGTTGATTCAGTATCAGCTGGTGTGGTTGATGGGGCCACATTTGCCCCTGTCATCTGTCCCACCATGGTGGACGCCACAGCCCACCTCTCTCTCTTGTCCCTGACAAAGTGGTGAAAACAGCAGATCTTTCGTGAGAAACAGCCAATGGGACCTCTGGCCAAACCGCATGAAGTTCAGGAGGAACAGGTACCAAGGGGGTGGCTAGCGGGAGCCCTGCGAGAGGTCTTCTTCTGCCAGATGGGCAGCGGGCTGTCCCAAGCAGGGGCCCCAACTCCTCGGGGGGCGTTCTTTGAAAGGGGTGCTGCTGCTCACATAACAAGATGATGCTTCTTTTCCTCCTTGCAGATCCATCTGTAGTGACAAGAGCCTGACCTGACTTCCGAGGGCCAACTGCCCCCTCCCCCCCCAGCATTGGGGATGAGCGCTCAGCGGACTGACGAGGCAACCAAAGCTTCAGGAGATTCCTTTGGCCTCTGATTCCTCCCACTTTCTGAGACCTGGAGGACGCCCCGAGAGCCCCCGCTTTGCCCTGGAGACACCTCTGCTGTCCTGAGAGAAGGGGGGGTTGGTGTCCTTGCTCCCCAGCTGGGGAAGAAGAGCCATTTCACACGTCCTGCATCCTGCGCCGTGTCTTCAGATGTTTATTTTTGCTATGGTTGAGCCACTGAGCAGATGGAGGAGGTCGCCCTGTTCTCGGGGAGCCCCTTCTGGAAAGTGGCATCCCGGTGGGGGAGGCTGCCTGGGTGTTTAATGGTTGGTGTGTCGCTTCCCAACAGAGGAGGGGGCAATTCCGCTGTACGAAACGCTGCCAGTTTCCTGTTTTCTGGACGGCTGGTGCGTTTCCTCTGCCAGCCTCGCCTTTTGCTGTGCAAGAAGACCGTCTGTCTTCTGAGGAAGCCACTAGCTCAGGAAGCATTTTTTTTCTTTCTGTTTTGTCTTCCCTGTTTAAATGTCAGCCTCCCTGGCACAGAGAGATCGAATTTTGTATTTGATTTCAATTAGCAAGGCATAAATTATACTTAATTTTCTACTCCCAGAGACGGGATGCGTCACAGTTCAGCCATTGACAATGGAAGGATTCATTGCCTGGAAGCAAAATTGCCTCTCTGACACCTTCTTCCCTCCCCCATCTTCCTCTGAGTCTCCACCATCTACCTGAACGATGCAGACATTGCGAAGTCTCCACCTGGAGCTAAACTCACCCCACAATAAAATCTTGCAACAGCAGCTTCTTCTCTCTGCTGTGTTTATCAGCTCTTGGAAGGGGGGGGGGAAAGCAGCTGCCTTTGGCAAAGGGGGGTTCACATGGGTGGAGATGCGGTACCAAAGCAGAGAAAATACCATACACTTTTGGCTCTAGAAGAGTAAATTAAATGCAGGGAGGCTGTGAGAAACCGCTTCATGCTCATTTTAATTTTCATCAGAGCCGCTTATATCTGGGCAAAAAGAGGTCTTAACGCTGAGCAGACCTAGCTGATTCTCACTAACCCAGCTGTGTGTGGGGAGAGGTGCAGCGTGGCCTCCAGCTGTTGCTGAACCACAGTGACAATCAGCATAGGCCACAGAGGAGGATACTGGGAGTTGTAGTTTAGCAACATTCTTAATCCTGGCATGCCTTCTTTTATTACACACCACACCCCCATCACCATCTTTCCTTTGGAAATAAGCATTGTGCAAAATGCAGAGAGGGAGGAAGTGAAGATATTGCAGGAAAAGAAAACGCAGCTTTAGCTCCTTTGCACCACTGCCGTGCCCCTCCCTCCCTCCCTCCCTCCCTGCCCTTGCCCGGCCATTCTCCCTTGACCGCTTTCTTGGTCTTCACCTGCCTCTTCACCCGTTCACCCTAGATCTGGTTTACGTTTTATGTTTCTCCTGACACGCCCAGCTCTTTTCTGTGTGACAGAGTGGGCAAACTCATATCCCCATAACAGACCCCCGGCCAGCCATTCTATTTGTATGTCTTAAAATGTCTCCCTCCATCTTTCCATCCTGAGGTCTCACATTCTTCTAATTGCTCTGTTTTTCTCTCTCTTTATATATAACTTGCAATCATCCATTCCATTTTCCTCGTCAAACCCAATTTTCTGTCCTTTATAAATGAATAATTCCTCTGTCACAATTCTACTTCATCTTTCTTCCCATGCCCTCGGGACGGAGTCATTATTTTATATTCCTGGACTATCTTCGGAGAAATCCCGGGAGCCAAGTCGAAATGAGATACCAAGGTTTGAATGCCCAACCTCAACAACCGCCTGGGGCTGCTCGATGGCAGAGCCCCAGATGGCTCCATTCAGACAACAGGACATACCATGGTTAGTTGCAGTCCTGGTTAGGCACCCATGTCATTGCTCAGCTTCACTAACTCCTATGGTGGCAGTTTTCTTTGGTGCTGAGCCTCTCGAGGGAAGCTGTGGGCCAGCTTCAGAATCTGACTGCCCGTGTTTGGAATAACGTCTGAAGTGAGCCTTGGAATCTCGCTGGTCCAGGAGAAAGAAACTCCAGGTTGCTCGAAAACTAGTCAGGACAGATCAAAGGCTCCCTGTGAAGCCGACAAGCTTCTTCCTTTTGCTGCATAATGAAAGCAGAGCATCTCCCATCTCTCCCCATCTCTGGTGTGTTTCCACACTGTCGTGCATAATCCCTATCTAGCAAGTTGGGGAAAATCATTTTACCACCTCATCCAATTGTGCCACTGGAAAAAAGCAACTGTATTTTTTTAATCAACAAAA